AATCTTGAAATTGACTAACACTTACGTCCTAAGAAAAAGGTTCAATGTAACAAAGCTAAGATATGATATTATCTTTGATATGCCATAGCTTGAGATAGAAAATAAATAAAATGATTAGGTACTAAAGACAATCTCCTTCAAAGATAGTAGATACAAAGTGACTTTTTGTACATATGTATCAAGTGAAGAAGAAAACAATCTGCAATGAAAGACTTATTTGTAAGAATGACCTTTATGAAGAAGCAAATACAATATAGGCAATTGATGTATATGGTGGTTTCAAATCTTGCATCAATGGTAAAAAAGACAACCAAAGGAGTAGAATGGATAGAACAACTCATACAAGAATATCTAAATATCTTCTCAATAGACCTATCTAATAGCATGCCTCCTGATCAATGTGCTCTCTTTCAAATAGAACTATTGTATAGAGCCAAACTAGAAAGTTAGTCAATTTATTGCCTAGTACCAAATGAACTTGAAGATTTGCAAAAAAATATTGGACAAACTTTTGGAGAAGGGCCTCATTCAAAAAAGCACATAACCATAGGAAGTACTTATATTCTTTGCATTCAAGAGAGATGGAGGACTTTGGCTTTGCATCAACTATCAAGGCCTTAATTAGCACACTGTTAAAAATACATATCTATTTCCATGCATGGATGATCTTGTTGATCAACTTTGAGATGTGACCATCTTTAGTAAATTAGATCTTTAGAGTGGATATTAGCAGATACCTATTGCAAGAGAGGATATTGAAAAGATGGCATTTTGTACGCATTATAGACATTTCAAATGGCTTGTTTTATCTTTTGGCCTCACCAATGCTCCAGCGTCTTTCATGAGTCACATAAACATATATTGTTTTGAGACCTTTTAGACATGTATGTAGTTGTCTTCATTAATAATATTCTCATATATAATAAAATCTCTAAAGAACATGAGCAACATCTATGAAAAGTATTCCATTGATTGCACTATAGTTGTTTATATTGCAAGCAATCAAAATATAAATTTGGAAGTTAAAAGTCACTTTTTTGGGACATGTGATGTTCTTCAAAGGCATGCGCTTAAAATAGGATAAGGTAAAAGCAATGGAAGATTGACCAACTCTCAAGGATGCTTTTGAAGTCTGTTCATTTTTATGCCTTATTAGATATTATTGCCATTTTGTTTAGCAATTTGTACACATTGCTACCTAATTGACAAACCTATTGGAAAAGGGTGCTCCATTTGAATGGAGACTAGAGTAGCAAAGTGCCTTTGATAGGTTGAAGGATGCACTCATTATTGCTTCAATATTGCAATTGTATAATGACAACCTTCCTTGTATACTTGGCATTGATGCTTCTGACTTTGCTATTGGAAGGATCATTCAATAAGACTTTGATAGGAGCCTTTAATATGTGGCATATAAATCAAGCAAGCTCAGAACGAAAAAGCATGATTATTCTACATGTAATCGAGAACAAATAATAATCGTACACACTACAAAGATGTGGCAATATTATCTGTTGGAGAAGCTAGTAGTTGTTCAGATTGACTATCGATCCTTGTTACATGATTCACATTTGAAAAGTATGAAATCATGGCATCATTCATAAAAAGAATAATTGTAGCTTTTTTATATCCAACTTGAGTACAAGGAAGGACAATAATATATTATGCCAAATAGCTTATTACAGAAACTAGATTTAAAAGCTAAATTGGAAAATAAGACAAAAGTCATTACTATTAGTAGTATCATTTCAAACTTAATCAAAGAAATAGAATAGAAGGAAGCTACTCATTGAGATGCTTATTTTAAGATGGTTAACAATTAATTGAAGGTAGACAATACACAATATCAAGATTTTAGTCTTAATAATGGCTTGCTTTATTTCAAGAAGCAAATTTATGTACCTAACTATACTATATTCCAGATATACATACTTTAAGAAGAATATGATATCCTAATATTTGGACATCTAAGATTAAAAAAGATTCTAGAATGGATCTCAAGGACATGATTTTGGACAAGTTTGGATTATGAAGTTTGAGCTTTTGTGCACTCTTGCAAGTCATATCAACATAATAAAGCATGTAATGCAGTGTCTCTTAGATTATTGCATCCAATTTCACTACTTATAGCACATTAGGAGTAAGTGACTATGGATCTCATTACATGTTTGTTGTAGATGCCTCATAATTACACCTCAATTGCCATCTTCATAGATTAACTCTCAAAGTAACTTTACTTGGCTATAGTATGTTCAAATATTAATGCCCTAGCACTTGCATGGATCTTCTTCAATACTATCTTTTATCACCATGGATTACCTCATGTCATTGTTTCATATCAAAATCCACTCTTCATGGAAAGCTTTTGGTAAGCCTTGTTCAAGCTACTGGGCATACGACTTGCCATGCCTATGTCCTTCTATTCTTAAAGAGATGGACAAATAGAGCATGCAAATTGGACCTTGAAAGATATGTTATGGGTATTTGTGGTAGTTTATCATAATGATTAGTATGAATACTTGACGTCCTTGGAGTTTGCTTATAATGATAATATTCAAGTAAGTATTGGTCATTCACCATTTTTTCTTAACATCGATTAACATTCGATTATGCCAACAACTCTCTATTGTCCCATTAACACCAACTATCCGACAACAAAGAAGTTTATACAATGACTTATAATGACCTTATAAAAGGCACGACATTGCTTCCTTATTGCATAGAATCAACAAAAGTAGTATGCGCATAACCACTAATAACACAAGACCTTTTGGGAGGATGATCATGTATTACTCTTCAATGGCAACTTTCTTTTTGCTATATTAATCTAAATCCATAAACTAAGACCTTGATGGCTTGGACCTTTTCACATTTTTGTAGTGATTTTTGATATCGCATATTACCTTGAGCTTTTGCTACATATTTAGATCCATCCAATCTCCCATATTTTATAGCTGAAGGAATTTCATACTAAGCCAAAGTGCTTTCCTGATTGATATCAACCACCACCAATTGTAGTTGATGACTAATAAGAATATCAAGTGGACAACATTTTGAAGCATCACTACATTTGCCATAGCAATGGTCGTCCATAACTTCAATACAAAATTCTTTAGAAAGGTTATGCCATCCACGATGCAATGTGGAAACTTCTCCAAAATCTCACCCATTGCCAAGAGTCAATTTGGAGATACCATTGAGAACAAAAGAATGACGTTTTGCATTACTAGAGGGTGATTAACTATAACAGGGTATAGGTAAGATATATGTATTATTGACATATAGTAATAGATAATTGGAATCATATTTTAGAAATTATGGAAGTTTTTAGAATTGAGGTTAGGTTAGTGGACCAACTAGAAACCATTGAGGAACATTTTAAAATGAGTTTAGGCCCATTATTTAAGTAGGATCAACCATAGAACCTTTTAGAAAAAAATCTTAAGGTAGTTATGTAGGTAGATCCTACCATAGAATCTTCTAAAAGGAGTTTAAGGCAGTTATCTAAGTAGGGTCCATCATCGAAGAACATTCTAAAAATTCTAAGGTAGTAGAATAAAGTATAAATAGGACTTGTTAGGGCCTTTTAAGACATCTAATCAAGCATGGCTTTAGACCTTCTTTCTTAGTAAAGTTTGGTTTTGCATCTTTCTATTCAATTTTGTTTTGCTTTATTTCCATTTGCACAATTTTGGTCTTTCGAGTCCTATTTTATTTAGTTCTATTAAGTTTTGTTTTGGCCCATTTTGTCCTACTTTGTGATGAGGTTTTATGTTGTTATGGATTAGAAGAGTCTTAGACACTCAAGATAGACTAGTCTTGTTTCAACTTCAGTACAAAGTTTTCTAGAAAGGTTATTCTATCCATGATGCAATATAGAAATCTGTTTAGAACATCACCTATTGTCAAGAAATAATTTAAAAATACCATCGAGAGTAAAACAAGAACGTTTCACATTAGTGGAAGGAGATTAATCATAATAGTGTATCGATAAGATATTTATATTGTTGATGCATAGAAATAGATAGTTGAAGCCATGTTCGAGAAGTTTTTAAAATTAGATCTAAATTAGTGGTATATATAAGATCTACCATGGAATATTCTAAAAAGGATTTAGGGCGATTATTTAGGTGTGACCTATCATTAAAAATATTTTAGAAAGTTTTAGAATGGTTGGACAAAATATAAATAAGATTGCCTGGGCCATTTAGGTACTCGGATAAGTATGGCTTTGATCCCTTTCTCTTCATAAAGTTTGATTTTCCACTTTTCTATTCAATTTTTTTTTTTTTTTTTTTTTTTTTTTTTACTCTGTTTTATCTTTTATGTCCCATTTTGTTTAATTTTGTTGTGGTGTATGCTGTTCTATGTTGTGACAAGATTTACATTGCTATGGATTGGAAGGGTCTTAAATCTTAGAAATAATCCAGTGCCATTTCACCTTTGTTCAACATCTATTCATTCTTGTTTGTATTTTTGTGGTTATAAATTCTCTATTTTAATTTGATTGTATATTTTGTATATTTATGCACCATCAATACTATTTGCAATAGATGGTTCTTGTTATATGAAACTATTAATATTCAATACACAAATTATTAGTATAATAACTATTTCTTATTTTTAGAGTTTAATAAAAATAAATTATATAAAACAATTTCATTTTAAGGAATCAAATTGTGTCACAAGTTTAACATGTCAAAACTCTCTAAAATAGCTAAAAATAGAACTATCCTAATATAAAATAATGATATCATTCCAACAAAAATTCATTCCACATTCATCCCAAACTTCGTATTCGTCAACCTCTCCGAGTGGAATTGTCGTCCACTAGAAAGGATTTGCTTTTTCCATTCGGAAAAAGTAAAAAGTCACTCCTAGGGTTGGGGGAATGAAAGCCTTCCTTCCCACCAAGAGACGTCGATGACGACGAACGAAGACGGAATCCGTCGTCGTCGTCCGGGCAGGCCAACCAACACAGAAAGAACCAAGTCAGTGTCAAGGAGGCCAGAGCGTGCGAAGAAGAAGATGCCAATACTAATACAACTCTACAATTGGGCGGTAGTGTTGGGAATGCGCAAACCATGTCAACGATTCACCTGAGAAATTTGTTGGGTTGAGTGTGTGTTTTGCAAATTCATACGCTCTGATTGTGGAGAGCAAACCTGTGACTGAGCTAGAGCGAAGCAGCAGCAACAGCAGCATGTTAGGCGGAGCTGTGGACCTCGATGTCGCCTTCATTGGCGTGGGCTGCAACAGAGTCGTCGGAGCAATCGCTTGGGGCCCCTGCAATCTCGTAGCGTTTGCTGCACATCACTCTGTAGCTGTCTTCGATCCTAAGGTTCGTCTTGGCAGAAGGGATCGATCCCCTGCAACTGTTGTGTTTGAATTCTGTGGGTTTGGTTGGGTTGTGGGTTTAGTGCTTAAACCCTAGTTAGTTTTGTATTGCCGCGAGGATTTTTTTGACGTGTCGCTGTTTTGCTGCACCATGATGGAATTCGACTGAATTTTGTTGCAAGATGATTTATCATTAGGTCCCTATTCTTGCGATTCACTTCATGTTCACGGGTTTAGAAAGTTTGTTGATCATGTGTACGTATTGGCGTGAATGCTTTGTTGGACAAAGTAGATTGTGTCCGCTTCACTCGTGTTTCGAGTTGCAGCTAACAAATGTATGTGCATTGTGCGCAGCTTGCTAGAGTACTTACAACCTTGCAAGGTCACAAGGATCTGGTAAATTGTGTAGAGTGGATCCCTAAGCATGGCATTGGAAATTCAGGTACTGTTTTTGTTCTTTCGTGTCCTGCCAATGTTGCTAGATTTTAGGTGCTTTGAGTTATAATTTATGGAAACAGTTCCACATGTGCAATCGGTGGCTTTATTAGGCACATGCCTCTTGTTGTGCAGGTGAGACTGGCGCAGAGAAATTTCTGTTGTCAGGAGGTGCTGACGGAGGGATCTTTGTTTGGGCTTACTTGCCTTCAGAGAACGAGGTGACGAATTCTTTTGTCGTTCTCTTGACCTTGTACGATATGAGTTTTGGATAAATTTTCTGGCTTGCTTAGTGAACCATGTCCCTTTTGTAACCTTTTGATAGGTATCTCAGATGTTATTTAATTGGCTTCTAATTGATGAATTAGCATTTTCACATTGTTGCGCGTTGTATTGCAAATTTGCATCTAGTATACCAAGAATGACTGTAAAGAGCATTTTTGAATTGCCTAAAATTCCCTAACTTGATTACGGGCGGCATATCAACAAGTTAGCGTCTGCTTGTAAAGCTTTGCTGATCCGTTTCAATGTTTGCGATTCTCCTCTGCAGTGGAGGGTGGCTAAAGAAGTTCCAGGAGCACATGATAAAGCAGTTACATGCATAGCAGGGTGCCAGCTCTCAGCAAATGAGACACTCGTCGCTTCAACATCTTCCGATGGCACAGTTCGTGTCTGGCATGCTTCCGTACCAAAACAAGCCGGTGGTAATTTTTTTTTTTTTTTTTTTTTTTTTTTATCTTTTAAGATTTCGATGAATGGCAAATTGTGTTATTACGTGGTGAATCTTATCATTTCTGTTTTGACATCATCCTCTCTAGTATTATGACACAGTGTTTCAGATCAGAAAATCTTTGTTTGCATGATTTGAGGTTCACTGTGCATAGGCCTGGGTGGTAGGTGCTTGCGAATTCACTATGCTTCAAAGTATCAGTGTTGGCACAAAAGTTATGGTTGCCGTAACGCTCTCGCCTCTCCCGAGCAGTTCCAGCTCATATCTGATTGCCGTGGGAGGACTTGACAATCATGTTTATTTGTATGTTGGATGCACGACGGGGCAGGTACTCACTTAGTTTCCTATCTCCGAGTCTCGCTCATCGCCTTTGCGTGTATTAAACATCAATCTTTTCGGTGTACCGAATGTTGCTTACACTTAGTATTTCATGCTTGCTGTAGTTCAAGCAAGTCTGCCAGTTAAAGGGTCATCAGGACTGGATACGAGCACTGGATTTCTCTTGTCCTGTCAAGGATGAGTCTGGTCTTGCTGTGTTTTTGGCAAGCTCTGCCCAAGATAGGATGATTCGCATGTGGAAGATTTGTGCGAAAAGAGGTTCATCACCGGATGTGAACATAACCACACAACCTAGTCTCAGAATGTATATTGAAGGGCCTGTTTTCAAGGCAGATGGTAACTCTTGGCAAGTGTCGTTGGAATCCTTACTAGTAGGTCACGAAGACTGGGTATATTCAGTGGTATGGCAGCCTCCGCAACATGTTGACACTGATGGGATTCCTCTTCAATCGATGTGTGTTCTGTCAGCTTCTATGGATAGAACCATGATGATATGGAAACCTGATTTCAAGTCAGGAATCTGGATGAATGTTGTCACTGTGGGTGAGCTAGGCCACACTGCTTTAGGCTTCTATGGAGCGGCATGGGGTCCTCAAGGAAATGCTATACTTGCTCATGGATATAGTGGATCTTTGCACATGTGGGCTAAAATTGGAGATGACTGGATACCTCAGCTTGTTCCATCTGGTCATTCTGCTCCAGTGGTGGATTTATCTTGGGGCAAGCTGGATCGCTATCTCTTGTCTGCAAGCCATGATCAGGTAATTTTTGTTTTGTTATGTTTGCATGTTTTTTCAGGTTTTGATTTAACATCTTCTATACAATCATAAAGTACAGTTCTAGTGTTTACGTGATATTGTTACTAGCCTTTTTCCAATTCTAATTCATTAGCCTGAAAATCTGAATCAATTTACTAATCCTTGTTTCTGCTTTTTCAGACTACTCGTCTGTTTGCTTGTTGGGAAAGAGACGGAGATGAGGCGGGCCTTAGACCATCATGGCACGAAATTGCCCGACCTCAGGTGCATGGGCACGACTTCAATTGCCTAGCAGTGGTCAAAGGTCCAGGAAACCACTGTTACGTGAGCGGAGCAGACGAAAAAGTCGCGAGAGTCTTTGAAGCTCCTGGAGCCTTTCTAGATAGTCTGAACACATTTACAGGGTTGGCAGATGCTGATGGATTCAAGAGGGAGGATGTTCAAATCATAGGTGCAAATATGTCAGCTCTCGGCTTATCACAAAAGCCAATTTACACTCAAGGTGAATTCCTCTTCAGAAAAGATTACGAATGCATTTGATCATTCCCTTCACAAAACTTAAGGTTCTGATATTGTACTGATACGACAGGAGCTGCAAGAAGAGACGTTGGGAACGCAGAACTAAGCGGCGACCCTATGATGGAGGAATTACCAGAAGCGAAACCCATGATTCTTACAGAGCCCCCTTTGGAGGAACACTTGGCGCATAACACACTTTGGCCAGAGACACACAAGCTGTATGGTCATGGCAATGAACTCTTTGCCATGTGCTGTAATAATGGCGGTCAGCTTCTTGCAACAGCTTGCAAGGTAACTTGACTTGGACCTGATGTTTATGGGATTGATGCATTTTTGACATGATTTTTAACACGCTGGATTTTTGGTTGATTGGCTTCAAAATACCTGCTGATTAATTTGCGTCTATTCTGAGCAGGCTCAAACTATGAATGTGGCTGAAATCTGGTTATGGTATGTCAATTCCTGGAGAGTTGCTGGACGACTGCAGTCGCACACGTTGACCGTAACTCAGTTAGAATTTTCTCCTGATAATCTATTTCTGTTGTCCGTCTCCCGAGATCGCCATTTCACAGTGTTTCAACTCAAACAATCAGGTATGAAGATCTCTTCATTTCATTTATATTGCTGATATCAACATGCATGTAGCACAGGGATGATCGGAACAAAAAAAACATAATAATACATACCAAAGGGTAGTGTTTTGCTGTGAAAATGGTTTTCAATTGGAAAACCGACGACAGTTTTTTCGTAATGGTCATTTGTTTCTTGCAATTATGTGTATTTCTTTACATGTAGCTTCATCTTGGTGTATTGACGTAATAGGTACTGGGGAAGAGGAGGTCCAGCACAAGCTATTGGCAAGAGTAGATGCCCATAAACGTATCATATGGGCTTGCTCTTGGAGTCCGTGTTCCCGCTTTTTTGCAACTGGATCACGGGACAGATCAGTCAAAATTTGGGAACTTTCAGAAAATGGTGATGGCAATTTTCAAGTGAAGCTCATCACCGCACTTCCTCTCTTCAAATGCAGCGTGACGGCTTTGGCCTGGGCCCCATTTACTGCGTCGCAGAAATCGTATTTACTTGCGGTTGGGAAGGAAGACGGTACACTTGAGGTGTGGAGGGGTTTTGTAACACCTTCTGCGGATGCTGCCACTTCAGAAAAGTATCCGCAAGAGACAAGAAAGCTAGATATGTCCTTTTGTTCAAGAGTGGAGAGGTTTCTGTGTCATGGAGCCACAATTCACCGGCTCCGTTGGAGAGACCTATCCACCTCTGTCACACAGAAGCAAGGTGATCAACAGAGTGGGTTGGAAATCAGCAAAGATTTAGAGAGGTTGCAGTTGGCCTCATGTGGGGCTGATCACACAGTAAGGATTTATGATGTTCACATCAGCTAATATGATTTGATAACCATGCCCTAGACATTCCTGTCTTGAACACATGTGCACTGGCTCTCCAATTCTAACATGTTAGAGATCTTCACTGGAAGTGTTGTTGTACAGTTAATCCGCTTCATTGAGAACTTCATGAAAGTCCAAACTTAGGCTTGGATAATATTTTCTATGTTTATTGTTCTTCGTAAAGCCCTTGAATCTAGCCAGTTTTTTTTTCCAAGTGCAATTACGTCGAAGTTCTTTATCTGTTTGGTTATTCTCACAGTTACCAAAACTTGTGGGGTTAGTTTGAGCCCGTAGATAGTGAGACGGTTCTCACTAAACCTGGAAACAGTATTCGCTCAAAACGGTAAAACGTCTCGTCTGTATGGGTGCGGCTGTGAGTCAACTACCATTCTTCCCTTCACATTCTTTTGGAGCATTTATCTTCCCATGCCAAATTGGTAAAGCTCATTTGCGTTTATCTTAATGCTGTGAAGTAAGGTTGTTTCTGTAGCCTACTCGTTGCTGCAAGATGACTGGAGACGTGAAGGTTGCAGAGGGCAAAGACCTGACCAGAATTGAACGTATCGGAGCGCACTCGCACATCCGTGGGCTTGGTCTCGATGATGCCTTCGAAGCGCGCAATGTTTCGCAGGTATGTTGCTACTCAAATCATGACGGATCTTTGTAAGTTAAATGATCTGATAGGAGCAAAGGTCAGGTACAAACAGGAGAACGAATTGCTGAATCTTTCATAATCATGAAACTCACTGCAATAATTAGACCTGAGCAGCTCCGGAATGAGGGTTTGTTCGGTATGCATAACATGTGTATCACAACAACTGGAATGGCTTATCTCAAGTTTTGACGTGATGATTCAAATTGTGATAAAACTGACAAGGTCTTTGTTAAGACGAATCGGTTTCTCATCGAGGCTGGGGATGCTTGGACCTGCAGGGTATGGTAGGCCAGAAAGTTGCCAGGCGAGCAGCGGGTGTGATTTTGCAGTTAATAAGAGAGGGTAAAATCGCAGGGCGTGCAATATTGCTGGCAGGGCAGCCTGGCACGGGGAAGACGGCCATAGCTATGGGTATGGCCAAAGCTCTAGGAGAGGAGACTCCGTTCGCAATGATGGCTGGCAGCGAAATATTTTCTCTGGAAATGAGTAAAACCGAGGCTCTTACTCAGGCATTCAGGAAAGCGATTGGAGTAAGAATTAAGGAAGAGACGGAAATCATTGAAGGAGAGGTCATTGAGATCCAAGTTGACAAGCCAGCATCAGCAGGCGCAGCGTTGAAATCAGGAAAATTGACCCTTAAGACGACTGAGATGGAGACCGTGTATGATTTAGGTCAAAAAATGATCGAGTCTATTGGAAAGCAGAAAGTACAGCACGGGGATGTCATTGCCATCGATAAGGCGTCAGGAAAGATAACAAAACTTGGCAGGTCTTTCGCTCGCTCACGGGATTTTGATGCCATGGGACCTGCCACAAAGTTTGTTCAATGTCCTGATGGAGAGCTTCAGAAAAGGAAAGAGACGGTTCACGTGGTCACTTTACACGAAATTGACGTAATCAACAGCAGGTGAGAGTGAACTTGGGGATGTTTCCACTTAATAATGTTTTCTTCGACATCTCACGCTTTTATTTGTGTGTCTGGGAGAGAATGTGAGCAGCAAAAGCTTTGAAAATGCCAATATGATACAGGTCCCAAGGATTTTTGGCTCTCTTCGCTGGAGATACGGGTGAAATTAGATCCGAGGTTAGAGAGCAGATTGACGGCAAAGTTGCGGTGTGGCGGGAGGAAGGCAAAGCTGAAATTATACCAGGTGTTCTTTTCATAGACGAAGTACACATGCTTGACATCGAATGTTTCTCATGGTTGAACCGGGCATTGGAGAATGAAATGGCGCCTATTTTAGTTGTCGCTACAAATCGAGGCATTACACGCATCAGGGGTACAAATTACAAGTCGCCGCACGGTATCCCGATCGACTTGCTGGACCGTCTGCTCATCATTTCAACTTCGCCCTACACTGAAGAAGAATTAAGGAAGATTCTGGATATTCGCTGTGAAGAGGAAGATGTTGAGATGTCTGAGGATGCTAGGGATCTGCTCACCAAAATAGGGTATGGGTATTCTCATCAAATTTCTTTCGGCAATCACGAAAATCAACCCTTATGTACACATCATTGAGCTCTCTAGGATAAGGATTTCACTAACCAAGAATGTCGCGAAATTCCAGGCATGAAACCTCTCTCCGGTATGCAATTCACTTGATCAATGCTGCATCTCTTTCTTGCCAAAGACGCAAAGGAAAGGAAGTGGAAATAGAAGATATAAGCCGTGTGTATTCTCTCTTCGTTGATGTGAAGCGCTCGACGCAATTCTTGATGGAATACCAGGAACAGTTCATGTTCAATGAAATGACGCCTGAAGAAGAGCAAGAGATGGAGGAATAAGTTGCACCCCGAGTTGACGTTTGCCGTGAAAGCAAGCATCCTGCATTGCGGAATTCTTCGCCACGCGATGCAAATTACCAATACAGGAAATTTAATTAAGGACAGGTATAGATTATTGTAGAGCTACCATAACACAGGAATATAAAGACAATCAGAAGCGTAAGTGGTCGGGTACATATACAGACCTCGCAGCAGCATCATGAACACGTAATTTTCCAATCAAATGCGGTTCATTGCAGAAATTCCATCGCTGCTGTGGATAATGAATTATATATGTTACCGGTTGTACGTACATGGGCAATTTTCCCACGAAAACAGAGGGGAGAGGACAAGTTCTTCTCACACACTTGATCCACTCACACTATTGTTGCAAAGCGTTTCTTTCGCAAGGTTTGGTAACCATACTACAGAAGAGTAGTGGAAAATTAACAACGCGAGATTGTTTCGCATGATGAATATACTTCTACAATAATTTTCTTGTACATGAACTAATTCCTCACGCTCGACCTACAGATAAAAGTATTGGAATGAAGCACCGTCGTCATGTCCATCAATCCCCAAAAATATGATCACAAGTCATTTCTCTCCACAATCCTGATCAAATTGGTTCTGCTGGTACTCGTGCCTTCTCACACGGTTGTGTAAATAATTAAATTTGTAGAATGTATCCGTAGAATCTATTGCATGTGCAGGCCTTCGTATCAAGCAAGATGCTGCCGCATAACGATCAACTTCGTATTCAATTCCTGACTATGTACTTTCAGAGAACGTCAACCAGGGCTTCGCAAATGCAGCGGCAGATATGACAGTCGAAATGCTCTCCTCACGGTAACAATGCCAGCACACACATCCTCTGTACACTACACGTAAGTTCTGGTGAGGTTTCCATCGTCGTAAAACTGCAGAGAAGATCCCAGAAGGGGTTACCAATGGTATGTACTCATCGTTTCAAAAACGGCAAGATCTTCAACGGGGTTACAAATTATGGCGATGTGGCGTTTCAACGCAGGGATCACGAGGTCGAGAGACCCAGGCCTTGAAAATCGACTGCATCGCTTCGAAAAGTTGATTGAGATCCTCTTGCTCGAAGCCTCCGAAATATCCGTATCATTCAGGTATCTAAAATTCCAACTCATATCGGTGCTACTGTGACTCGATATCGCGGATAATAAATCATCACGTTGCTACGTCGGAACACAATTTTTTTTTTGGTTTTTTTTTAAGAGCATCTATACCTGGGAGAAGCAGCGATGGTAATAATTTTCGAGAAGATTTCGGGTCTTTCCTATGAGGCGAGGCAGCCAACCATACCCCCCACCGAATGTCCATCGTAAATGCTAGACTCCACCTCCAGCTCGTCCAGAATTGTGAGAAGATCATCGGCATATCCGTGAAGTGTAGAGTATCTGGAGAAGCTGAAGTGCTCTGGGTCAGTCGTTCCGGCTATCATATTATCGAAGAGGATTATGCTGTAATCATCGACGTGGTGAGGAACCAAGTGTTTCCAGACGGATTAGTCGGTGCCGAACCCGTGGGCCAGAACAACCAGCACCTCACCCATGCCAACCACGCAGACATTGTGTGATTCCACATATGTTGGTAACCCAGCCATTGTGCGATGAGTTGTTTTTCCTTAAATAAAGCTGGAATCTCTCACCACCGCCTCTAACGTCTAAATACCAAAAGCTAAGTATGCCGGACCCAGGCAATCAGTCGAGCGTCACCGAGTCTTGACATTCAGAAACTGAAAGTAAGCGAACTTTCTCCGTCGGTTACTCACAATTGCAGAATAGCAAGAATTCGAGAACATTGCTCGATACTGACGATATATCGAGGACAACAAATGCAGCGATCTGTGAGATCTCTACTGCCAATTTTTCCGCTAATATCAATCCGAAATGAGTAGTCTAAAAGGCATAGTATTCCTCTTCACAAGATGGATACGCAGCGAAATAACGGCAAACGAAAGATTGCTGCAATGGAAAGCAAATCGATTGACCCGTCCACTCATCGCAGTGCAAATCGTCGTCGTCTACCTCAACAGGAGCCATAAGAGCGCGTCAATCCTATAAAAATCTGACATTAGATGATCTTTTCAAGCAGCAGTACAGCTTAATCTTGTAGAACTGCGTCGAAAATAGATCATTGATAGATATCTGCTGCTATCTTTTTCGTAGGTCATGAAGCTCCAGAAATGCTGAAAACTCTCTCAGTTTCATATCTCATATTCTCCAATCTCCGATCACAGCTACTCCGTATCTCACCATCTTGCTCTATCCATCAAATATCAAGGAAAGCACTGCACAATCGTATAGATATCCTACCTCTGAAAACTAGACAAAACCGACTCCCGCCGCGAACCGAAGCAAAACGAATAAAGCGAGATAGTTAGGTGCCAGCCGAAAATAGGCAGCTGGATAATTATGACGATACGATTTTCAGTCCTCGCTGGAACATAATTAACTACTTGAGAGAGCAGTGACAAGGAGTCTCAGAGATCTGAAGCTGCGGATCAGAAGCACTACTTCACTTTGCTCCGATCGATTGGCAATATTCACGAAAGCTGCGGAGGATGCGAGGAGGTGACCTGGCGGCTACGATATAAATCGCAGCAGATAAGGGGATTTAACGGAGACGAAGAGCAAGGGAAGGATAAGCACTGGGAAAAGTGTACCAGCGACTGATGAACCAGCTCATTCTGCCTCGACGGATTCAATTGTATTGCTCCACATGACCTCAAAACCTCAAAACAACAATACCTCGCGTCCTTCTTCAACTGCTACAGTCCAAGCAATCATCAGGTCGAGGTTGTAGCTTCCCCTCTCCTATAAAGTGGTCCCTCCCCAATCTTCTCCTATATTTACCTCAATTCTCACTAAAGACAGAGAATCAATGGTATAGTGTTAGCTTCGCCATGTTTTTTGGGCTCTTCATTATAGCACATGTTTTGAGGAATTTGCGCAATGAAAAGCAAGTTCCTCAGCCACTTCCAATACATCTAAAGATTCCATGTCTCCAGAAAAAGGCCGCACGAGAATTAAAACGAGGAGGCTTCGCTGTACACTCCTGCCATTCATCATCCATTGTTGCTGTAGTGTACGTGGTGCATAAACACTAACTTTGAACACATCACGGAACTACAATAGACCTCATCGAAATGAACCACTTGAAGTGGCACCTTCTGTATCGCCGACAAGGATTGACATTATTCATGTGATCTCATTATTCGATTCAAAAGACCAGCCACACTGACTTCGACATGTCGTGACTGCTTCGTCAACTCTCTCTCACCGACTGCGTAGTTCAGACAATACTCTCCGACTACCTTCCTCAAACTGGTTCGGTCATCTGCCCCCTTCTAGATCAGGCAGGCAGGCACAAATTTACAACAGTCTGCGATGTCTCTCAAGAGGATGCCGTCAACAAGAATTGGGAGGACGTCTCACGGACTTGTCAACGCAGAATCATGCAGAACCTGGCATTGGTGAAGGCAATCTCAGTTGGCATGGACGTGCACCAGTCGCGGCAGAGATTGCCCGACTCCTTCCGTAGCAGTTAGTGCCGAAATTAGCTAATCGCCGGGAGGAGAAGCGACAGTAGGAAGCGACAAGAGGAAGCGGACCCAAGCAATACCCACCGCCTACTTCTTAACTAGGCATTCTAATCTGATATTTTTGTCCCATTGTCATTTACTGTCTACTTCCGCGACCCTATTCCTTTCATGTAATAGCTTTATCTTTCCGACCCCTTTCTTCTTTTGGGGACATCTTTATCTTTCCAAGTCCATTCTTCTTTTGGAAGGTATCTTTCTAGTTGGGATCTTTCTCTTTTCGCCTCACTACCATCCACTTTCCTTTCTATGGTCCTCTTTCTTGTTGGGCCCCAACTTTAGTCTGCTTTGGTAAAACATCTCATAAGTTGGAATGGTTTACTAATTGATGGGAAAAAAATAAAAATTAAAAAAATAGTCTTATATTATCTAGGGACAAGAGTTGTTAAGAGTAGTTTATACATGCATTATTTAGACATTTTTTTGAGAAACTGATTTCTTAGTATTAATAAATATAATAATAATTTTATTTTATTCTGATTTTCATAAATGTTTTTAGTCCACACTTTATATTGATTTTAGCTTCAATGATTAATTAAATGATGTGAATACTGCAATGAGTTCGATTAATTAACTTATTTATGTATAAATTTATTATTTTATACATTCATCATATTTTTTATATTATTTTTTATTTTTTATTTTACAAAATAAAATTTTGTGTTTCTTTTGTTTATTTCTATCTATAACTTTATTAAGTTATATATAAAAAATATTTTATTTTTAATAATAATTTTAAATTTATAAAATATATTTTATTTTATTTAAAAATAATTTTTTTGATTTTTAATATTTATGTAAAATAAAAATAATATATTTAATATATTTAATATATTTAATCATAATCTTAATCTAATATGTGTGTAATATTTTATGTCCTATTGTTAGTTTAAATAAGTTTTATGATTTTTAATCTTTTGAAATATTATATATTATGTATTTTTTTAATTTTTAATAAAGATTAAAAATCATAAAATCTTTTATCATATTATATATTATGTATTTTTAATATTACTTTTATAAATCAATCTTAAACAATATCTAAGCATAATTTTTTATTTAAATTCATTATTGCTGCATATTTAATATGTCTATTTTTTTCATTGTGTAGTCTTTTAATTTAATATCATATTATATATTATGGATTTTTAATATTACTTTTATAAATCAATCTTAAACAATCTTTTTTTTGTTTTACCACATCATGTAATATAATTCTGTTCTTTTATTGCTGTAGTTTCATTTTAAGTACTAACTCAATTAATTAGCTTGATTGTAACTTTAAGTAATTAAGGCCCTCACAAGCATCATATCATTCAAATCCAATCCAAATTAGGTTTGAATAAAATCAATAATAAACTCAATTCTTTTGGCAATGATGTCAATCTTGAACATCTTTCTATATCCAATATAATTAAATATGTGTAGTTCAATTTTGTAGGCAGTAATGTCAAGCTTGAATATCATTTCATATTCAATTTAATTAAAGATATGAGCTTGCTCAATTCTTTTGGCAATAATATCAAGCTAATATATCCTCTCATATATAATGTAATCAAAGATGTGAGGTTGCCTAATTCTTTTAATAATGATATTAACCTTGAATACCCTTCTATATCCAATATAGTCAAAGATGTGATATTGTCTAATATTTTTGGTAATAATATCAAGCTTGAATACTATGTCATATACAATGTAGTCAAAGATGTGAGGTTGCATAATTCTTTTGGCAATGATGTTAAACTTGAATACCTTCCTATATCT